CGTTATTATTCGAAGGTTCTAGAAGATGTGTCTCGCCTATAAAAACAGCAGGGCATCGCGCCAAAAAACAACAGACAACAGAGAACAGAGAAGACACAAGTCAACTATGAAACTGTTATAACCGTGTAAGCTATAAACTGTGATTTTGCTAACCCCTATCAATCGGAAAATATATGACATTTGACCAGGAACAGTTATAAATTTCGAAGGTCAGTGAATTCCCAGCAAACGTTAATATCTCTCCAATAATATTACTAATCTTTCATCGGACATCAGTGATTTTATGAAAATATTATCTTACTTCAACGGTCCAAAAATCCAGTGCCTGACAAAGCTAGCTAGCTTCCCACCAATTGTATCTACATACAACTTGCTGGATATCTGAACTAGGAAGACGAGTTTAGGCTATTTGTAAGTTAGTGAAATTTCTGTTTATGAAACTTGATTTGTAATAATTAATCATAATAGTTGGTATTGTAAATTATACTACTGTATATACATATATATTAAAACGTATTTATTTCAAAACAAAATGGTGTGAATCAATCATGTTGGCAAATAGCGTAAATTAGATAAAATACAGGCATATTTCTAAACACTAAATCCAGGTACGTTTCAACTATTAAAAGTTAAATTATTTAACGCGGCTTTGGATTATTTCAAATTCTCAATACGTAACAACATGCACAAAAGGATAAGAGTAAAAAAACAACAACAATGGGCTGACACATTATTGAGGAAAAAGCATAAATTTTAGAGAACAGTCAAAATACATCAAACAACTGTATGATGATGACAAAAGTGTAAGTCCAATAATACAGAGAAATATGAAAGGGCCGTCAATAATAAAAGATGAAGTAAGGAAAACAATCAAACTTATGAAGAAAATAAAAGCAGCAGGTACAGATAAAATAACAAATAAAATGGTTAAATGCTTGGTATAGTTTGGAATTTATGTTATCACAGAACTCCTGAATAAGATATCTGAAACTGGAGGGATATCATCTGACATGTCAAAATCATTTTTAGTACATTGCCTAAAAACCCAGGAATACTTGAGTGTGTGTTATTCAGAACAATAAGCATTATGAGCCTCATACCGAAAATCCTACTGAGAATACTCATGGCCAGAGTGAGAAATAAAATAAATCCTGACATAAAAAAGCACAATGCGGAGTTGTTGAAGGTAAAGGTACAAGAAATGTCACATAGATATCTAGTTAGAACAGTGATGGAAAGAGTAATTGAAATACAAAAATATTATACGTGTGTTGTATTGATTACACTAAGGCGTTTGACAAAAAATACTAAAAATCCTTAACAGTCTTAGTTTTGATGGTAAAGACTCCAGTTCATCGTAAAGAATTGGTAAGTAATTAGTTTACCTTTTAGAAGAATTAATTTCCAAAAGCTGCGTTACAGCTTCTGACATCTCCTTAGATAAGGCACACTTTGTAGTTGTTACTGAAGAAACCACAGCATCGTTATCAGCTTCTAATTTTTGTAGATTAGAAGTTACTTCCGTTATAAACTTTGAAATCCGACTCTTATGAAGTTGGATTTCTTGTTGTCTTTCTTTCAGTGTTTCGGGAATTATGTTTTGTGTACGCTTCTGTTGAATATATAGTTCTCTTTCTAGCTTTCTGGCCAAGTCTTCCAGCTGTAGAGAATCGTTTTGTTAATACACATTACAAAAAAAACAACAAAAAACATTAAACGTATAGCTCGATTATTTCAACCAGAGCAAATCAAGAAGAAATAAGAGAACATTCCCAGTGACGCCATCTTCTCAACTACTGATCAATCTGAGGAAAACAAACTTTAAAGCAACTGCAAATAAACTGTAATTTCCTTGAATGTTTGAAGGCTTTAAAAGAAACCTTAAACTGAGGTATAGCAAATACATTTACACGCAAACAAATGTGTTCCAGAAGATACGTAAAATATTACAGAATTTTTAATACCACTACGAAAGAGATTTACAAATTAAAGCATCTTGGAAATGTCATGTTATCTTCTTGTGTCAACTTAATTAATATATGTTTAAAACCTTTTGGTAAGACATCAAAATTTTCATTCTCGTATTAAACTTTTCTTTCATAATGAACAGCCCCCCAGTGGCACAGCGGTATGTTTGCGGTCTTACAATGCTAGAATTCGGGTTTCGATACCCGTGATGGGCATAGCACAGATAGCCCATTGTGGAGCTTTGTGCTTAATTACAAACAAACATAATGAACAATTATTTGAATTATGTCGATGTCACTTTATAAATGTTATCACTGAATACAACAAATAATAAGCGGTTAAAAGTAATTACTTACAAAACTTCTACTTAAAATATCTCTATTGTAAATCATTATTTATATTTTTTGAGGTCATTGTTTTTTGTTCATCATTATAAATAGATTAAATAAGGTCTAGTGTTTTCTTAAAGTTGTTCAAAAGTAAACTTTTTAGTGAAAGTAAAACTTTAGACAAGTTACATCTACATAAATAAAATTTCATTAAATATTTCCTATTAAAATCTCAAGATAGAAGTAGATTATTGATTCAATAGCATTACAAGTGTTCTTTTAATGTTGCAAGAGGTATTAACACAGGATTACCTTTCCAGCTAAAATGCGTTCTGTGTTTTCACTCATTTCTTTACGAGTATCTTCAAGGTGTTGGGTGAAATTTTTTCTCACTCTTTAAATATTAAAACACACGTTTAGTTCGATCACTATATAAGGAGCGCCGGTTCTCTTTTATACATTTATAATATTCATACGCCTAACAAAACATAAATTAATATTTTGCTTTGATAAGTACTTCACTCACTTATCTTTATGGAGAACGAATACAGTGATCAAGGCAAGTAAATGGGTTCGATGAGAAAATCAATTCCTGAAATAAATGAGTTACAACAAGTGGCAGCACAGCAGTTTCTTGAGATAATCTGAATATTTTGAAACAAATCAATTAAATATCCTGTTGTTATGAATCCAAGTCTGAACAAATATAAAGTGAAAACTATTTTTAAGAATGATTATGCAACTTAAAAATTAAAATTTTCAAACATTACACCTTTATCACAGCAATGTCCTTCTTACACTCTCATACATATGTATATGGTATTTCCAGTCATGAACAAACTGAAACATTGACTATGTTTCCATTATTCCAGAGCTACATTTTACACTGTTATGTTTTAAGATATTACTCACAACAACTACAATAAAGCTGCATTAGTACATTATTTGATTAACTATATGGTTCCATTTTCATGGTCAAATACAGATTTCTATCTTAAGCTGATTTATTATTCAAGAAAAGAGAAACATTAACTTTGAAAAACTGACCAAATTGTATCTTATGGTAAACCATTGCAGTTCGAATACATAGCTAGTAAAATCTCATAAAAAAATGTTTTCGAAATTATTTCGAAAACAAAATACATTTTTTCCTCAATAATCACATGTTATAGATAAAGGTACAACCTAAGGTCTAAGCCTCTTATTCTAATAAGTGTGGAAACTTTCCTCATTAGTCTTCCATTATTGTTGGGATATTAGTCTACAGAATTTGACATTATACATGTAAAACAGTTATTAGATATTTTAATCTGTCGTATAATGATCCTTATGTTTGGTAAGTATTAGTAACTTACGAATTTCCCAAATCCTGAAGAAATCTTGGATCAACTTTTATTAACTTGAATATGTTTTTTAAACGATGTGCATATTCATCTAGCCCACTTTTTGCGTCTTCGTCAGAGCTGTTTAAATTACATTCATTATCAGTTGCAGTATTTGTAGTTGGATCGTGGTTTTTCTCAGTATTATAATTTCCATCCAGCCTGTTATCAAGTGTTTGAAAAGAAAAGTTATTTAGAATCAGTTTAGAGCAAGTCTCATCTTTTACAAGCATTGATAGCTGGTCTTCAAATAATTCCCTCAGTTTTTTCTCATAATTCTGTATGTGGTCGGTTAGGAGGCCAGGGTACATCTGCCAAACTGTACATTCCTCTTCGTATCGACTGGTGTAACTAGAAGTATTGCAACGAAAAGTATAGTTTTCAAACATGTTAAACAGCTGAAATGTAGATGATAAACAGTCTCGTCATAAAAATAGTTTAGCATCGAAAGTGATCAGCACCCTGCCAAATTACTAAACTAATATATGTAATTAAATATTTTGAACAATAATGAAAATTCTAAAAATTTCAGACTTTGAAGTCTAAAAAAATAACAACCTTGTGATAAAAACAAATCACAATTAATATGGTTAATTTTCTATTTTTTTCTCTTAACTTAAAAACAATAGTTACTCTTTAGCTTTACGCGAAAACGAAATTACGTTAAAAACGCATACAAACAGTTTTGTTGTTTTTGTTGCTTAGAAAAAGCTTTTCAACAAAAAAACTTTATACCGAAACTGTTCACGTCAAGAACTGCTAATCACATTAAGCTTTGCGCAAAGTTGCTACGAAGCTTATACATGCTTCACTTCAGATTAATAATAATAATAAAACATTCATTAAAACGTTAACGATTGTCGGGAGTCACATATTGAATTACTTTAATTATAGCTCTTAATAGTATCTAAATGATTGTTAGAGAAGTGGTGAAATCAGATGCCAAAAAAAGTTTTAACCTGTACCGAATTTCCTTCGTAAAATTTTGAAATAAAAACATGCTGTAGCCATATTCAATATAATCTTCCTTTCTTTTAGTAATTACTATCTTTTTTCAAATTTATAGTTTCGAAATTAAAAGTCTACTTCAATATCATACTGTACCGTACCTATATTCAATTTCTTCCATTAACTCTTGAATTTTATTAATGGTGTCTTCATGACTTACAGGATGTCCTTCTCGTAACTGTCTTAACAAATGCATCAGTCGTGTTTCTTGTACCTAGAATGGGATTAAGGTAAGTTTATAAAATAAACTTGTTATTGTTAAATGTATTTTTGAACTTGTAAATTAAAAACTGAGAGACAGGGGTTTATTATATCGTATTGGTCTCATCTTTTCAGGTTAACTTTGACTTTCTATAGTTTTAATATGAATTCCTTTGATAATAATCTAATTTAAGACGTGTGGAGAGTGATTTTATAGATTTAGAGAAATCAGATCATCCAATACTTTTTTTCCCTTTTTTGTGTGTTTAATAATAAGACATACAGAGTGTTTAGACATTTTGGCCAACATGTGTAATAATGAACATGGTACTTAAATGATATATCTCGCCATCTGTAACACGTTTTGAGCTGCCAGGTGGTTAGGGCGCTCGACTCGCAATCCGAAGATCGCGGGTTCGAATCCCCATCCCATCAAACATGCTCGCTCTTTCAGCCGTAGGGGCGTTATAATGTGACGGTCAACCCCACTATTCGTTGGTAAAAGAGTAGCCCAAGAGTTGGCTTACACTGCTAAATTAGGGACAGCTAACGCAGGTAGCTCTCGTGTAGCTTTGCGCGAAATTCAAAACAAACAAACAAACGTTTTGAGTTGAAAAACAAAATTGGGTTTGCTAAGAATATGGTGCAAAAATGGTTACAAATTGTAACCTGAAATACGTTCCACACTTTTTGTTTTGCTCTGGTTTACCAAGCCAGTGAAAATTGTAGAAATATAATCATGTTTGTTAAGTTATTGATAATAGTAGTCAAGGGATGGTGAGAAATCTGATGCTTGTAACCTAGAATATTATATGTGTACCACCTGAAGTTAAGATATTGATTCTTATGCACATTAAAATGAAAAGTGACAAATATCTAATAACTAATTCCGAAAATTACAATTTAATTCAAATTAATTCTTATTAGAAAATATTCTAAAAATAAACTTTTGTTTGTTTTTGATGTGATATATATATAATACGTTTTTAGATTAATTTTAAACAATATACTGTGAGTTATACAAAAAGTTTTAAATATTTGATAAATTTAACGTACACTTAGTGACATCTGTTTGAATTTTCGTGAAATCTGAAAGCTGCAAGTGTAAAAATTGAAATATATAATCGTAAATATGCATTTTTACGTATAAGATTGTCGAGCCCAATTTTTTATTCTATTTGCAAATGGTTAAATATTAAATTCTCCCAATGACATTATCGAAATACGACAATTATTATGATAAGCAATCGAATTAATTGCTAATTCCCCTTTAAAAATATTTTAAAACACCAATCCAAGGGAAGAAAATACAAATACATGATAAATGCTGTAAATATTCCCGAATATTTTTGGTAAGGGGGATTTAAATGATAAAAAATATTAAATGTTATATGAATCAGAGAAAATGTATAGGAAACTTTAAGTAATGACGGGAGGTACGAAAAATATTCAAGCTAAAACTTGGGAAAACGAAAGTTTTATATAATGTAATGGATCTTTTTAAATAGCAAGTTTATCTTTTTTACCTTCCAGAAAGAAACATAAAAATAACACATACACATGAAATACAAACGACTGGAAGATGTTACGGTATTGTAGCAGTGAAAAACATTTATAAAATTTACAGATCCTTTTGAAAAATTACTTACACATAAAAGACACACTAATAAACAAAATATTGAAATTTTTAACGAAAATATTGGAGAGGGATGGACTAGCCACCAAAATACTAATCACATATTTTATAATTTCTTACGTGTTTGATTACATATTTGAAATACACTTAACCTATTTCCCTGATTAAATGTTAAGTGGAATCTAAACATTATATGCCTACCTTTGTGGATTTTTTTTTAACATTCATTAAAACATTTAACTAGTGAATAAATTTTAAAAAGGGATTGTAATGAGTAATTTAATTGGTTTAAATACATATTGTTGAATATTATCATAAACTTATTTTAATGATTTTAGTAGTAATTAGAATTTTCAGCTTTTTGTGCTCAGAATTGAAACATAATTTTAACTCACCTAAACATTCATCGAAGTTCCTACCTGCAAGCGCTGTTCTTGTCGAGAAACACATATTTGGCATACTGCTTCAAGTTCCCGCTCTTTTTCTGTTAATGTCTTTGTGATTTCATTCCAAAGGTCCATTGCATTCTGGACCGTTCTATACAGTGTAGTGCAGTTGAGAACTATAAGCTTGTGCTCGACTGCTAGAGTGTCCTACATAACAGTGAATTACAAACTCGTGAATACATCAGCTGTCATTTGTAGTTAAAAAGCTTTTTTATATATGGCACTGTAACATTTATATGTGTAACTGTTAATTTTCTGTCTCACCTATTATTTGTACAGAATAAGAAAAGTATGTATATCACAAACACATTCGCGTTCGAATCATGAAAAGTCCCTAAAAAGAGACAGCTATTATTTTTAATTTAGGTTTTTCGATAAAAACTTAAAGTACTAAATGAAGAAAAAATCAGGAAATAGTACACGATTAATATTAGTTGAAAACAAGTGATGAAAGTCATAACATTGTGCAAAATTTTCCTTTATAAATGTAAGTATTCGATATACCTAAAATCTAACTTTACAATATTACGTTTTACTTATCTCCTAATTTACCTACTTATCTTCACACATATTTACATTCGTTTCTAAAGTTATAACTGAATCCCATGGTCGTTTATCCTACGTGTACATAAGGTGTTATTCAAGTTGAAAATTCCAGTTTTATTCTTTTGGAGTAACAATTTACTTCACTGCTATATTCTTTCTCTATTTAGTCCTCTGGTGGCTCAGCAGAGGGTGTGAGCGCTTATAACAATAGATATAAAGTTTGTAATTTGTTAGCTTTCCAGTAGGTACCAGATGCTTAAATGGCAAGGCTACCACCTAGTAAGGCACCCCCTCCTCCAGTGGCTCAAGGATAAGTTTGAGGGCTTTTGATGCTAAAAATCTGGTTTTGATACTCGCAGTGGGCACAGCACAGGTAGTCCATTGTGTAGCTGTGCGCTTAACAACGAACAAAATATTCTTCTATTTTAGAAATACTCTCGTTGTCGTTGTACTTTTTGTGTATAAAGATCGCTGAACATCTGAACAGCTTGGCGCCATCTATTTTGTTTTAAAGTTTTTTTTTTATGTTTTGACCACATTGTATTTTTTTTCTATAAACTTAGTCTTAAGCCAAGGGAGTACGCAATACTCGTCAATAACTAGGTTTAATAGGACTTTCTAAAAAGATAGATTTTTTAAAGTTAGAATGAAAAGTAATAACAGCGGTGCTCATTTAATAGTTCCAAAGTCGTTTCTTCTCCTTACCTGGATGTTTCTAAGTTGACAAATATTTGCTTCTTTTTGTTCATTTATTTTTGGTAGAAGCTGGTCACGAAGAACTTGGATATCTGATTCAGTTACAAAAGCTGCATTTTTATCCATAACCTGAACATAAAAGAAAAATATTATTGTTCACAACATTCTGCCCACATACTGGTTATGTGAGCTTGCAAATTGCGTTTCTAACTTAAAGTATGAGTAACTAAGTACCTTTATTTATCTAATAAAATGTTCATTGTCACTAGTAATGTTATTAGACAAAAACACTCACAACATATACAAGAAGATGATGTAATACAGAGGTTGAGTACATTATATTCAAACAATTTTGGAACCTCACTACGTCGTTACAGTCCGTGTCGCCATATTCGGGCAATGCATCGTAGTTTTCACTTCAAAAGGCTCTCGTAAGGCTGTCATGTCCAAAGTACACTCTTCTTCCCTGCTGCCTTCCATGCCTCTTCTAATGTACGAGAGCGACAGTTTATCAGCGTCCCCGTCAACAGTCTGATCGCACAGAAATATATAGGTGCTGCATCAGGAGACTTAACCAATTTGACCTCATATGGAACAGCATGAATACTCGTTTCTTCCTCCAACTGTTTGAGATATGCGACAATTGAACAAATGTGTCGTGGAAGCAGCTTGGATACACGTGACTTGTGCCACTTTTTCAGACGATTTCCTTCTGGATTATGCTGTGAACTGTTGCCTGGGGCACGTGGATGGCTTTTGCCTCTGATCTTTGCGTTTGTGGATTCTCACCTACTATAAAACGCCGCACTTTGCTTAGCACGGCTGTTACAAGTCTCTTATTGGAGTCCCCCAGTGGATCATTGGTAAAATGCTACATTCCTAGGTTTGATTCCCGCGGTGGACAGAGTGGAAATGTTTTTTTGTGTTTCTGTTGTAACACATGCACAAACTCTCCACTTAAAACTAAATTTGTATTGAAGGATTCGACCATTAAGCTATAACTGTTATTATGTTCCACTCCCTAATTCTATTACATTCAAAATAAGTAGATGTTTTTACATTGTATATAGTCCACGCATACAATTATTTTTTGGATCAGAAAAAGGAATATTTGAACTATAATATCTGTATCTTTGGAGCTGGAAATTATTTCAAACTAAAATATGTAACTGGATTTCTTACTAGCTAGTATATTTCGGTTCATATCACTCCGAATATTCAGTTTTTACTGATGGACAAGTTTAAACAAAGCAATAAAAAATTCTTATAATCAGATTTCAAGAGCTTTATTTGAATTTTCTCAATTTTAATTGGAACGCGTATTTTGTATGCATTTTGAAACAATTACACCATCATTCATAGGTATCAGGATTGTAAAAACCTCGGATTATTTACGTATACGAACTCTTATTTAATTAATACTTGTAGTTCCAGCAAAATACATTGATCAACGTAATAGACGACTTAGAACTTACAGTTATGTTGTCAATCTCCTTAAAACATTCTTCATAACTATTGCATAACGAGTCCTCCAATTTTCTGGTAAAATCAGTGACAGCAAGTTCTGTAAGATAATGACTTAACTGAGCATCCCAAAGATATTATATGCAGTTCATGACATTTTCTGTGTTTTGGTGTAAATTAGATCTAATCCATGGACTTTAAAAAGGTTAACTGTGTTGCACTCTTGGCTTCACTCAGAGCTACTTATACCCCCACCGCGAAAAGTAATTGTGATTTTTCATATATGTACCAAGAATATATTTATGAAAAGAATGCGTTATTTTTCAGTCAGTGGTAAGTCTGAAGGCTTATAACACTAAAAACCAGATTTCGATATCCAACGTAGGCACAGCACAGATAGCATATTGTGTAGCTTTGCGCTTAATAACAAAGAAACAAATATCTGATATACATATATATATATATATATATAGAGAGAGAGAGAGAGAGAGGAGGTTTCATGAAAATGTCTTTTTCTTTTGTTTGGTGTTTCTCACAAAAATGCTAATTTAGTAGCCAAACTTTCATAAAATTCTCCTTTTCAAGTTTTGAATTAGTACGTCTTCTCTATCACGTGATTTAAAGAATATCTACAACATTAATTGAGAAAAGGATGTCAATTTTTCAGGTTGGAAAACGTAAAATCTGAGACGTTCATACATTTCATAGTGACAAAAAACTGGGTTAACAACGTAGAAATTAAATCATCTCTTTGAAAATATTATAAAATTGCACAATAAGTGGCACCTGGAGGTAGATGCATTTCGTAGGTTTCAATACAACATTTGATACACTGGTATGTGTAAAATAACTGCCGTAGAAGAATTATCTGATTATGGCACGGGAAACAATGGCTTATACTCACACTCTTTCTCCATTGAAGTTTTAAGTATTCAGTATTAAGTATTCATTATTCATCAGATTTTTTAAATTCACTGTGGAAAGGGGGGTCCGTCTTTAAGGTTCATGAGACATGCTTTCATGGGGATTTGTTTCGTTCTGGAGGTAGATGCATTTCGTAGGTTTCAATACAACATTTGAGACACTGGTATGTGTAAAATAACTGCCGTAGAAGAATTATCTGATGATCGCAACAATGGCTTATACTCCCCCTCTTTCTCCATTGAAGTTTTAAATATTCAGTATTAAGTATTCATTATTCATCAGATTTTCTAAATTCACTGTGGAAAGGGGGGTCCGTCTTTAAGGTTCATGAGACATGCTTTCATGGGGATTTGTTTCGTTCCATTTTCATGCAAGCAAATGAGGTTTACTCATTTACCTCAAATGGTTCACTACACACAATAATCCTTAGAAGCAGCACCCTGTGCAATATGGAAGATATGTCAAAGTCTAACAAATATATTGATAAACTTAGGGCGTTTGTAGATTAGAAGAACTAGACTCCTGGTCTGAGGGAAGCCCAATGTGTTTTTAGGGCAAACTGAAATCAAAAGCACAATTCCTGGATCACATGGTATAAATATATATGTATTAGTTTAGAACGGTGTTTTATAATTAATTAATTTCAAACCCGTTAACAGAAATAACATGAGAAGCATCACGTTAGTTCTCTTGAGAAAAAAGTTTGACAATTCCCATACAACGGAAAAAGTTCGCTTGTTTGACAAACATATTCGAATCGATAGCTTTAGCAAAATAACGTAGGAATAACATTTTTTTAAGTCACTGGTTTATTAGTAGTGGGAATTTCCAAATCCAGGATTCTGAAAATGGTGAGGCAAAGGGGAGGCAGACAGATGGGCTTAGAGGGCCAATGCGTTTCATTAGAGGACAAGAGGAAATAAACTCATGGAAGATAAATTAAGAAGCTCAAAGGACTCTTCAGAGATTGGACAACGTTTAGTTGGATGGGTTTTCCTTGTGTGTGTGGTTGCCTAGCAACTAAATACATTGTATTCTGGGTAGATGTACCAATTACTAATTTTTTTATGGAAATTTTGAGGAGGAAGAAAAATTAAGAAGTGGGCCCTCCTTTCCTTGGCATTCACACTGGTAGTAAAACCAAAATACGATAATCAACGATAGTATTTCAAACAAATAAATAACTTGTCAGGTAGCTCGTGTTAGGCCACCAACAGGTTTTTTTTAAACCTATCAATTCACAATGTTGTACTACCAGTTTAGAGCAAGGCTTAGTGTGATGTGAAACTTAAAACTGAAGTATGATGTTTGATGTGTGTTTTTTTATTCGGTGGCTAAAGAATTTTGACTCATGATTTGTATTTTGTGTATAATATAATATAAAATGAAACAGGTTTCATTAATTAAATGTTTTGCATAAATAAAAAAACATAACAAAACACAAAACGCAGTCATTATTCTTTCTTTCGTTGAATATGCAATAACAAGATCAACGTTTAAAACAGTTACTTGTTAAAAGGTGATACGTGAAATTTTTTGGCTTTCCTTTAAAATAATTTTCGAGATGAGGTTAAATATGTTTAAATTCTCAAAACATTAAAAAATAAAGTTAAGTGTCAAAACGATATAAAATCGCTTGAAGGTTTGCCACACCATAAACTCAGCTAAATCTAGCTTTCACAAAGTTTTAAATAATAAACAAGATATCCAAGTACTAGCCGTTTAAAAGGTTAAACTTAACTGTATGGTTTAGAATGTTAACCTGTGTAATGTACAGTTTCTACAGTGACATTGTTGGATTCAGTTGTTATTAAACAACTGAGACCTGAAATATTGTGTTAGTCAATACTTGTACTTCAAGTAACTTCTATACAAAATAACATTTATTTTTCCAAAGTTTCAGTGTATGTTTTTATCAAGCTAAATACTAAAGTCATAAATGTTTCTTCAAAGAATAACAGTAAAAAATTATCTAAAACAGTTATTCCAAATATAGAGTTGAACTAAAAATTCTAACTTAGTAGATATATAGTACACGATCAAATTGTATGTATATTTTTTCTAGCATTTTTAAGGTAAGTGAACAGTAAATGGATATATTATAAGTGATATCGTGTTTCAAACGAATAGAAATCCTTGAAATGTAGTACCTTACCCATTTTCTTCAGAACGATCACTAGCTTATCATAACAAGAGTCAACATCGGTGGATGTTACATCTGGTGGTAGGAAATTCCTAAAAATAGATGTCTATATATTCACTTGGTTTTCTTTTATTTATAGGGGTATGTATATATATTTATAAAGATCATACAAAATTTAACATCTAAATACAACACAAGTTTTTGTCTTATGACTAATTACCTGAATACCTGTATGAGAATACCATCAAAGGTAAAGAGTTATTGCAAACGGGAAATGGGAGTTATCCGAAACGTCGAGATTTATCAACCGTTGCTACCCATAAAGACATTTCCTCATATTTCACAAATACACGACCTAAACCACCCATTAAGTATTATTTGCAAAACTGTTTTGTAATGTTTATAAGTAGTTATTGTATATTTGATTTCTATCTACCTATTTTTCTATAAACCACTTTCAAATAGATGTTTTTCAATTTATAGAAGTTTATCGCAACATTTAGCACTATACATTACAACATGCAACAAATCCAGTGGTTCAATAAAAAAAAACTGTTCGGTTAATTACACGGTTGAAAATGATTCAAAACTACTAGTGTTTAAAAGCAACACTATCCATGTGATTTTTTTTCCCATATGACCACGTTCATCTAAAATTTGTATTTATCAAGATATCGCTTACGTAAAGTATCGAACCAAATAAAATAAAATTTTACAGAAAGGCGCTGATTACTAGCACATTAACATTATGTTTTCAGATTGTTTTTTTATTCAAGAAATCGAGTGCAAAAAAAAACAAAACTCTTTGAATATTTAAAAGTAGAACACAAGAGTAGAAAAATATTCACCTTTGAAAACTAGCATTATCTTCGTCATGTCTGTAAATTGTCAGTTTGGTTGCTTTCTATAAAACGGAAGTATACTTCTATATGGGCTATCTGGGCTCTGCCCACCACGGGTATCGAAATCCGGTTTCTAGCGTTGTAAATCCGCAGACATACCGCTGTGCTACTGGGGGCATTTTAATATTAACTTTTTGGATTGATAGCAATGAAAGAATAAATGTTCATTAAAACGAATGGTTTTTCGTATGTGTTTTTTCGTTAGTTTTTTTTTAAACATATACCTATATATTTATCATTTGTCTATGATTTTGTATATGTGAAGTCTTTCAGTTTCACGTTTGTTAAATTCTGTAGTTTCGTATATGCTATATCTTGCAGTTATGGGTATACGAAACCCGCAGTTTTCCTTTTTTTCTTGAATACTTGTATTTGTATGTGTGTGTGTATATATATACGGGTCCCAACAGCTACACAAATGTCAGTTTAGATGTCCTTAGCTCTTGGAATGAGTTTCTAATACGGTAATTCACTATATATACATACATATACATGCACATAAACACAGAATAGTTGGATTATTAACATTACATAGCTTACATGAATTCACCGAAAATAGTTTCTTTTTCTTTTGCAAAACCTTGCATTGTAGTCTCCCATTCCTTGATAATGTTTCCAAATTCTGAGCCCAAAAAATCCATTTTTCTTTTCAGGAAGAAACTAGTGTGAAAATATAAATTATTATGATGCTGCACCCACTATAATATCTGCTATATTGTATTTATTGCTGTGTACACTTTATTTATTATTCTATATATTATTATAGGCTTCAGTCGTTTTCATTTTAGTTATGTTATAGCATACTATCTGCCTGTCATTTCAAAAATTAAGTTGTCACTAGGTAAAGCAGCAATAATGTTATCTGCCCATGAGTACTTATGATATTTTTAGATGCCTATTGGATATTATTTTAGTCCTGAGGCATTAGATCTAGATAATCTAAACGTTAGTATATTTATATTAGAATTTTTTTAGGTATTAGACCTAGATAATCTAAACATTAATATATTTATATTCGAATTTATTGAGGTATTAGTCCTAGATAATCTAAACATTAGTATATTTATATTCGACATTTCTGATGCAGTTAAAGAATAAATAAAACTTCAGAAGACTACAAATACTGGAACTTTTTGTTTCAATGACTCATACAAATAGCCGAAGAACACCACTTGTAACATTTGACCATCTTACTTCATTTGGTTATAAAATACTATTTGTCATATGGTTAGAAAAAAAATAAGTAAGTAGTTATATTTTCAGCAGGATTTAAAACTAATTTTTGAATGAAAAGTTTACAGTAAGTTTGTTTGTAGTTAAGCACATAGCTACACAAAGGGCTATATGTGCTCTGCCCACCACGGGTATCGAAACCGGGATTCTAGTTTACAGTAAGAGTTTTGATATCGTGCATCGTTTTCAAATATTACCTTTTATCAGATTCATTATAAAGCGTTTAATTAATGTCTATTTTTAATATAATATTAAAAGATTTTAACAGTTTTCCAAATGCATATTTTCGTACGATTATGTGAACAGGGTCAAAACGAGCCGTTCAGATCTTTCTGTGATTATTTATTATTTTTAATAATCTGCTTGCTTAATTAATTTTTAATCGTATCTTTTAATATTCTTTAATGCCCCAATCAAGAAAACATTTTGTGCAATATACTATGTTCAGATGTCAATATATCAACGTATAATAAAACAGAAGTAGCTACCAAAAATAAAATGTTATTTTGAAAGAAAAGGTTTGTTATGCTATAATAAAATATGCTATAACTAGGAGTGAATTTCATTTAAAACTAAAACGCAGAAATGGTACTGAGTATCAGCATAATTTTTAAACAAATTATAAATATTAAATATAGCAATACTCATTATGCTGTTACACTATAAAATAGTTTTAAAATTCACATGGGAGTGTGTAGGGGTGGTGGTGAACCTATTCGCATGTTCACCCTGCATATAGTACTAGTGAGCGCTGTATAAAATTGTCCAGAGCTCATCCGCTCTAGCGATAAGTTAATAATGGTTATTGTTTAATATTGGGACTTAACAATTATCTATTACTTATGATATGTAGGCGTCTTGAGTCTGAGATAATTTCCACAGGTATGATATATTTTTAAGAAATAATTTCCCAGCACTGACTTGGATTTACCTCTTGTGACGTTAAAGTAATATTGCTTAAGGTCATAAAGTGAATTAACTATAAGTTGTTATAACTTTTTCTAAGAGTAAAAATTAATAATGTTTGTCTATGATATTGGCCGTTAAATCAGTCTTTGAAAACTAATTATTGTGAGTATCCTATTAATATTACCTGTAGTCTCGACAGGCGTTCATACACTGAAGTTCTATCCATTTTTCGGTTAGCTCCGTATATCTATCTATGCTCTCCTTTTCCTGAATTAATTCTTTTAGCTTAAGTTGTTTCCCTAAATGCGAAATTAGTCGTTGGTTGTCAATCAAAATCCGATTAACAGCCTGAAAGATAAAATAGGAATAGAATTATTACTTTTTAAAATCTCATAAAGTATTTAATATCCTTTGTATTAGCATCTATAATGATTCGGGCCAGGCGCGACTTAGTGGTTAGCGCATTGGACTATGAATCCGAGGACCCATGGTTCGCATCGTGTTGCCGCAGAGTTGCGCTCCGCATTTTGAAGCCGTGGGTGCGTTATAAGAGTAACGGTCAAAATCCCACTATATGATTACACTAGTTCATGAGTTGGCGGTGAGTATCGTTGATCAGTTGCCTTCCCTCTAGTATAATCTATCAGTTTAAAATTAGGGATGGTTTGCGCAGATAACCCTTCTTTAACTTTGCGCGAATATCCATTACAAACATACTGTAGTGATTTCTTCTAAGAGCATGAAACAACGCTAGAAAGAGTATTAACATTGGATGCATCACGGATTATCTAATTGTTTCACAATCACGCTGCTATTTATAGGCGTAAGAACGTAAAGTGGAGAAGGGTGGTTGGAAAATGAAGCTCCGACAATTTTTAAAGGGAAGTTCTTGTTTTAGTCTTTCTCTTTTTTTATACTTTTGTATTTTTTATGGCAGAGCTACTAAGGCTATCTGCCGCCATCCCTATTTTTGAAATACCGACCGTAGGTAGGTAGCAGCACCATACTACCACTGACATAATGAACCCACAGCTTAAAGTGTGAGGAATATTTTAAAATATCGTATGAATTCGAAACCTGCTCGCTAGCTCCAAAATTCAGGAATATACCGCAAGGCCAACCTTCCCCCATTTTTTTTGTTTTTTAATTTTTAGTCTTAGAAACAATAAAAAAAAGTAACATTAGCTTGAAAAATTTATCACTCAACACTCTCACGCGCGTTTCAGTGTAGGATATTAGAGCCCTAAGTGTAACTTAACATATGATTGTGGATGGATGCATGATAGCCACATAGTATGTTGTCCTATCTAATTCCAAATATCTATACTGCTCCAAAATACTTCGTTTTATAAATTCGTTACGCTGTGTTAACGAAAGTTCATTAGATTATTCAGTAACAATGTCAGCTTTATAACGTATAACCCATTGTAAAGAAATGCTCCGTTATGGGCTATTGTACTTGTCGTATCAGAATGAAGGAAATGATAGAAAATATCTTCTAGATTTTAAAAAATATATATTATGCTGTCAAGCTCAACCCCCACCCCCGATGTCACCTACTTTGCCTTCAACCAAAGGGTTGCGCATTTATTGCTCCTTTTTTATCGTGTCAGGACAAACTTTTTCCTACATTAGTGTTGGTTTGCATAGCAAAAGGCAAATGCTCTCAGGTGGCTAAGACGGAAGTCTGATAACTTATAACGCAAAAAATCGAGTATCGATATACGCAGTGGGCATAGCACAGATCGTCGTTATGTAGCTTTGTGATTATTGAACAAAAAAACAAAACAGCAGGAAGTTCTTCATGTTACAATTCATAAATCCCAAGACTGTGCTATCTACAGTTGATTTAGTCACTTGAAAATAAACTTGTAAAATATGTACTTAAATATTTCCCCGAAAGCCGCCTGGAGGGGTCACCTGTTTTAACCACTCGCACCACTATAAAGAAGTGTGTTGTCTGTTAGTTAGTTAGTAGACACTAAAATGACGTCACATAAGGGATGCTTATCGTTGCAATATATACTGTCGTGACGTCAGTAAAACGTTCACATGCCATGAATCACAAGAAGAATTATGCATTCTGTAGGCTACAACACAGTATGACATATAAACTTCAAAACATGGAATAAGAATATTTGTTACTCTTAATTTTATTTACTCTTGAAACAGAACACTTTCGGGGACCCTGCGCAAGTACATCTTGTTTGTTTGTAGTTAAGCACGAAGATACACAAAGGACTATCTGTACTCCGCCCACCACGGGTATCGAAACCCAGTTTCCAGCGTTGTAAGTCCACAGACATGCCGCTGTGCCTCTGGGGTGCGCAAGAACATCTCCTTATACCATGTGTTTGTTTATACTGCTTGTATCTAAAGTTAGGGTAGCTTTGCGCTGAATAATAAACAAAAGAAAAATAATATTTATACCTCCTTTATTGTTATTATTTAATAATTTAATACTTCATTTTCACATTAATGCGTTAACCATCTATTTACATTTTTAGACAATAAAAGTTTCCTTTCAAAACTAGTTTCATAGTTATTTTCTATAATAGCGTTCTAAATATATATGTACCGCCATACAGCACTAAAAAATCTAGTATAATTATGCACTTAATTGTTTTTTTACATACCTTAACGAGCCCTTCCATAAAAGCAACAATGTCTTCTTTACCTAAATATCCAATGTTTACAAGGTCTTTATAGGCTCGTTGCATCATATGCTCTATCTATAACGTTAATTAAACAATCATTTAGATATAGACTCTGAAGTGCAGTTTAATCACACAGTCGTATCTCATTACCACAGAACACCAAAAGGTAAACATACGTGCAGTTAATCACACGGTCGTATCTCATTACCACAGAACACCAAAAGGTAAACATACCTGCAATTAATCACACGGTCGTATCTCATTACCACAGAACACCAAAAGGTAAACATACCTGCAATTAATCACACGGTCGTATCT